TGAAGCTCGCCTTTCGCGCCCGCCATCACCAGCCCCCCACCGGCGAAATTGGCGCGGTGGTCCACCATTGCCCATAATCGAGCACACGTCGCTCCGCCTTTGCTCCCCTACACTTGGTGCTCACCGCAGGTCACTGCTTTGAGCAAGGTACAGCCACCTTTGCGCATTTTCGCCATCGTCGGTCATGCCATGGCCGCCAGCTTGACCTCGCTGGCGTGGAAGGGCTTCCCCGTCCTTCTCTATCCCCTTGAGTGACCTGCTGGGTTCGCCATCTTCTTACGCGGACCCAGCCAAGACGCCGCTGTTGCCGGTCATGGTCGGCAACGGCCGTCGGCCCACATCGGCACATGCAGACCGCCATGGCGCCTGGAACACCAAATGGCGTGGCCATCTCGCCTCGGCCTTCTTTGGGCCAGTCGGCCTTGGGCCGAGCCCCAGCCGGGCTGTCGCCTTTCCCTCCGCTTTCGGTTCTTGAAGCCGAAGCGGTACATGGGCCATCGTTCCCATGGACCGCCCAAAGAGTAATAGGAAAAATGTTTTCGGTTTTTCTTTATTATTTGGGAAGATAAATACTTTGGAAAATGTTTGTGTACTCATTTTGGCTCCAAATTTGTTGAAACAAATTTTGTTGTGTTCCTTGTCACCAGATCTACATGATAAAAATATTGCATGTCATTTTTGAGATACTTTTATGTAGAGCTTTATTTAATTCTTGATATTGCTGATATCTTGTAAAATATGTAGTAAAACCTATATGTATCAAAAAAATATGCTTCCAAGTCTGTTACTCTTCTTGTGTAATGTACTTCCTAGAAAAAATATATGCCATGCATGTCCTGTAGAAAAATTGTGATGTGTAGTTCAAGTGCCTTTAATGGCTGATTTTTGTTATTTTTACTAGAGAGCAAAATTTGTATAAAACATGCATGTGATAATTTTTGTACAGTGATTATTTACTATTTAGAGCCTAGGAAAAATACTAAATCTGTTGTTTGACACTTTTCATAATACAAAGTATTTTCATGCTCATATTTAGGTCCAAGCTTGTCATTTTTGTGTAGGCTATTCCACTTATCCAAATGCCATAAAAATTTGATGGTAGACTACTTAGAGTAGTACTGTGCTATGGTAATTTTCTAAGATTTTTCTATGCTATAAAAATAGATGTTGCTATTCAAACATATTATTAATTAGGGTTTAATCAAATGTTGCTTTATGCATGATTAAGAAATTAGTGAAGCTTTGGTGTATCTTTGAAGCATTCAATGAGATGTGTTGACTTAGCATATTAGTAGTAGAAGAGAATGCAGTAGATGACATGTGCTTGTAGTACATGTTCTTGGATGATGTTGACTACCTTGTATGAGATTTGTATTATACTCTCCCCATTAAAGCGAATCATGCTCATCTACCTTGCATGCAAGCATATTCATTGTGTTCATTTCATCTGATGCACCTTTTGCATAAGCACTTATGCACCTGCATCATACAGGATCGTAAACCGAGAGCCCAGTCATCATACCCGAGGAGCCCGAGGAGCAGCTCGAGGTGCAGCCGCCAGAAGTGACCGAAGCAGACGAGGAGGACGTTGAGGAACTTCCGTAGTGCCCCGATCACCGCCCTAGCTCCTTCGAGAGAGGCAAGCCCCGGAGCATTTTTCTCCCCGGTTTGCAATTATTAATTAAATGCTTTACTTTAATTGATGCATTACGTTTAGGAGTTGTTTGCAACCGTTGCTGCATTATACCTTGTCTACCTTTGTTATACTATATCCTTGTTACCCTGATATTCGTAGTCGAGTCAATGCTTAGCTGGCTTAGACCGGTAGAAGTCGGGTGATTTCCTGTCACCTGCGAGCTATAGGTGGTTACCTGGATCTGCTTGGATAACTATGTAGTCAGGGTATAACTAAGTGTTAATTTGAAGTTGAGACCGGACGGATACTTACAGAGTTTTGGACTGTAGTGCTTTCCATCCGTGTCGATTAAGAACCGACCGTTGTTGGGCCTCAGGTCATGTTGAACGCATGCCTTACATTTAGCTGGCCGAATAAAGTACCTTTCGACCACGAAGCTGGGAGATTATTCGGGACGAGTAGATTGCCCACGGCGCACTGTACCGGAGCAGGTGTGGTAGGACACGGGGGCGCGATGATAAGACCGAAAGGCAGTCGGTCGACCCCTGGGTACATGTGGTTCCTGACAAACTCGAGATTTTCCTAGATAGTTGACTCGGTGACCGATACCTCACTTTAGCGGATGAGTGAGGTTTGTGTAAGGAATAAATCACCAGCTGGTTTGGAATCGATTCAAATCGCCATCGCTCCTGGATAGTGAGCACTTGACTTGAGTGACTTCATCGTAGTAATGTTGATGGAACACTTGGACAGTTATAATGAATATGACATTACGGAAGTTGTTAATGATCATTGGTTATCATTATTTGCTTAATCACATGCTTGCTCTAGTATAGGTGTAAATGTAATCGACAGGTTAATAATAATTAACTTGAGAATAATGCTTTTGGAAAGGTTCTTGAAATACTAAAAATGCCTCTTTTTGCAAATGAGTCAGCTACCCTACTATAAAGCCCTTCATAATCCTTGGTGTCACTTTATTTTCGGTTATGTCGGGTAAGTCTAGCTGAGTACCCTCTCGTACTTAGGGTTTTATTCCCACTTGTTGCAGATGGGCAAATGTATTACGGCTACTGTATCAACTGCCTTTATCCTGCGATGGGTGATGCTTAGGACCATGGGCATGGTCATTCCTTACGTCTCGTCTGATGCTTTTGTTGGAGATGATCATTAGCTGGCACTGTATTTGAACTCCGTGTGAGTGTGTGTGGTTTTGAACAAATGGCTTTCGCTACTTATATTTGAACTCGTTTTGTAATAACTATGTTTAAACTCTTCTGTGATGCGAACTTTTATGTAATATGTGATGATGACCGCTAAACTTATTACGATCTTGGCTGGTATGTGAGTTGGTTTGAAATCCTTCGTGATTTCACGGACTACCGGGTTATACGGGCTTAAGTTTGCTAAATCGTCTACTCTGGCGGATGATTTTTTTACTTAATTTCGTTTAATTGGTCGGTTCTGTTACAGATGCCAGCTATTGCTCAGCTTTAACGATACGCCGACATTATTATGGGGGAAAAACAATCGGGCATGGATGCCTACTACTACTCCGCTTTAACGATACACAGCCTGTTCGTTTGGCCGTGGCTTGTCGTAAACGATCGTAAATTTCCAGCCGGAACAGTATTTTTCTCTCACACAAACCAACCAGCAGTACTTCTTCACGAACCAGCAACGAAACGAACCAGCCAACCGAACAGGCTGACAACTGCATTATTACGGGGAAAAAACAATCGACCGCGGCTTGGACGTCCGATCTGAGGCGCCAGTGTCGGACGGTACCACTCAGCGAGCGAGCGAGCGCCCAGCAGCGGGCCCGTGCCACCCCTAGACGTCGTCCATGCCGTTAGTCACTTCCAACGCTCTTTCCATGTGCAACACCCGATCTACTTTTGAAACATCTTGATCCAACAGTTGCAACATACAAAAGAAAATAGATGAAACACTTGAAACATGCGTTTGAAAACACTTACAAAAACACCCGAAAAATACTTAAAAACCATTGCAAACATATACAACATCCAGATAAAACACTTGCAACAGACGTATGAAACATCTAAAACACTTGAAACATGTATATATATATATGCAATATCCAGATCTACTTTTGTAACATGTAGATAAAAACGCTTGCAACATACATTTGATACAGATGAAACATTTAGAACATACACTTGAAATATACGTGCATAGCCATTGCAACACGTGCACATCTCAATCTACTTTTGCAACGTCCTGACCTACTTTTGTAACACTGGTACAAAATATTTACAACATACATCTGAAACACTTGAAACATATAGTTGCAACATCGCTTTCAGCTCAAACATCTCCTTACTACTTTGGCGAATGGAAGCTCGTTCGTGCGTGGAGGTCATCGGTGTGCTCGCCGGTGGCACGGAGCTGGGCGGCGGCGTACAGAAGGCATGGTGGGGATGGCACGGGCGGCACTATCGCAGAGGGCGGGTGGGCGACGCATGAAGGTCACTGGTGAGCTCGCCGGTGGCGCGAAGCTCGGTGGCGTAGAGGGCGGGGTGGGACAACGCGTTGAAGCCGCGATGGATGAGGTGGAGTGGGGAGTCGCGGGGTGCAGACTCGTCCATACGTATGGACTCCTTACATGGGAGGAAACGAAGGTTGGTGGGGATCACCTAGGAGCAAAGCACGATGGCGAGGGAGGCATGTGGGTGGATGCAACGACGCAGGGAGCGAGCAGGGAAAGGAGGAAGGTGGGTGCGCACGACGACGCAAGGACCTAGCATAGCAAGCGAGCCCTTGCAAAGTCGTGTGGCCTATGTGAAGAAACCTGAAGCGGTGCGCCAACTCGTTTCGGTCCGGTGGATGCGGCGTCCGATGGGACACCCTAATCCAAGCATTTCCGTACTATATACTAACAAGTGCAGTCCCTGGTAACATCAACAGTGCAGCCGTGATTGGATCGCCCGTACATTATTGTTACTAGTGAGTGCTAGATGGCCCTCATCTCCTTCCAATTTAATGCATGAGCTTGAGAACATTTCCCTCTTCAAAACAAACGTCATCGTAAAGCTTCTGCCGGTGTACAAGGAGAGGACAATGTGTTCCAAAATTATACTGGATATATCACTTTTGCATTATGAAACACCATGGAACATGGATATAAACAAAAAGGTAACGGCAAAGCAAGCATAAACTCAGCTCTTCATGATTTGCATTAAAACCAGTTGACAGCACCATAAACAAAAAATTCAGATGTCCAAATTGCTCATATCCTCTTTGGCTCTTCTAGTAAAATGTTCTAATCTCCTAGCAAGCCCCAGATGCAAGCATAATTTTAAGCCCAGGTCCAAACGCAGAGTATTACTGAAACGTGTTACATCTAGTGCGATTTGACATACTCCTGCACTATGTTAAGGCCCTCAGATTCTTCACCGTAGTCCTGGTAATTGAAACGAAACAGTAAAATGTCATGTTTAATGCCTAAGGTAAACCAAAATAATCAATTGTAGTAGGAAAGAAGGTGATTGATATGCTACCTTGACAACGACACAGGAGCAGCCTACAACCTTCCTTGCCTTGCCCTCAGAGTCAATCTTGCAAAGCTGCAAGGAGCACAAGTGGAGGTTGTTACGATCAAGGCTCAAGTTCATACAACAGAATACACAGCATAGTGGAAAATGGCATGCTCTAGAAAATTGAAACACAACTTAACGAATTTAAAAGGAAATGTAAAGGCACATTTACAGACAATAGTAAATTTTCCCCTGTCAACAAAAGGTGGGGCATTGCAAGTGATAAAATGAATGTTCAAATGAGTAATCCAGTAACACTATCTAGGCAGCAGCAATAATACTATGTAAAAAGGAGCACAAGTTTTAGAGAAGGATACTAAAACTCACCCCAGCCCACTCGCCAAGAGTCTTAGCAGCAGGAACAGTGACCAGGTGAACATTGTGCTCAGCGCAGAGCGCCTTCACCAGCTTGACATAATCCGGCTGGTCACAGTCCTCAGCAAGCACGCAAAGCTGAGCGGCGTGCTTCTCGATGGCCTTGGCAGCCTCACGAAGACCCTTCACAAGTCCATCATGAGCACTTGACTTCTTCATCACGAGCTGCAGAGCAGTCATCAAGTCCATCGGCTCTCCAAGAACTGGGGTTGGTGCCTCAACCACGACTGGGGCCTCCTGATCACTGCCAAATCAGAAAAAATTGGTGAATTGACAATGCAGGAACGAAAAGCATTACATATGTCACAACAAATTTGCAAAGGCTATAAAAGTATCAACATATACTGTGCACAGATGAAACATTTCAATACTAGTACTCGGGAATTTCAAGGCTCTAGAAATCAACAAGCAACAGGACATAGGTCGCAAGCCAGCAGAACTTAAAAGCATATAAAGTGAAGTTCACTTTTAGTCTTGATATGATGATAATAATAGAGGCTTTTACGTGTGTGCCATTATAAAAGTTGGTAACTACCTACAAGCCACTAAAAAGTTTGAGCGGTCACACATGCCACTCATCTAAACTTATTTGTCGTCCACGTCATTCCGTCCATCTTCCGTTAGATCTTTGCCATTTGCTAGCCCTGACATGTGGATCCAGCCAGTCAAGATGTGCAAAATAACCCCCTCCCTCTCTCCCAATCCCTCTACTGCTCGCTGTGGTCCTTGTGTCGCGGCTCCGCACCGCCGCTTGGATGGAGGTCGAGCGCCACCTACTGGCCCTCACCCCGTCGGTGTCCTGCCATCTGTCCACCTCTGCGAGGCGCGGTCGCCGATTTCACGCTCGAGGCTCTCAATCTCTTAGCTGCAGGTCGTCGGGTCGTTGATGCCCACCTCTAGGATCTCCTGCAGCCTCTCCCACTCCGGCACGATCTCCCGCTCAATTTTCTGTATTGCGCAGGCACAGCGACGCGGACCGTGGCATGTCCCTGACCGCGGCGAACAGGACCAGGTCGTCGAACGCGGCGACCAGGAGCTTGGACCGCCTGGTGATGGACGCGAGCGCGCCGCGCAGCAATGGGGCTGGCGTCTCGGTGGCCGCGGACATGTTCCGCGCGAGGCGGTGCAGCGAGCGCAGCAGCTCCCCATTCGTGGATTGGGCATGCCCATTGGAACACCTACAGAAACCGCTACGGCCGTGATGCACCTCCTTAGGCCTCGCCACCGCCTATTGCGCCTACGTGTGGGTGACGTTTGTGTCCAGCCACATGCTAGCCGTGGCGCTCCCAGAGCAAGCTGCTCCCGGAGTCCTGGTGTACTCAGCGCGCACTAGCTGGGCCGCGAGCACAGGTCAACCTAAAGACGGGTGACGACTGTGTCTCCATCGGCCAGGGCAACAACGACGTGGACGTCGCCCGCGTGCGATGCGGCCCCAGGCCCCGGCCACGGCATGAGCGTCGGCAGCCCCGGTCGGTACGCCAGCAAGGGAGGTCACCTTCACCGGCACCATGTACGGTGTCCACATCAAGGGCACGACGACGACGCGTCGACGCCGGTTGCAGTGCTGCTCAGGTGTGGCGTGCCGTGCCAGGGCACGTCGGCCAAGTGTGACTGTGCGAGAACGCCACGGTCATGTACGTTGGCTACTAGCTCCCCAAGTCCTGCACCTAGGTGGCCGTGCTTCGTGTTCATGTCCCAAAGCCCTTTGTTGCCTGATGCCCTTTCTGCTATGCTTCTCCGTTCTCGCACAATCACCGATATGGATGGCGTCACTTCGAGCTGCTGGAACATGCCGAGGATGCCGGCTGAGCACGTCATGCCAAAAGCGATCACCGTGTTGGAGGTTAGTGGCACCAGAGGAAAGAAACTCTTTTACATGTCTTTCAGACTTGGTAGGCATTTTGGACTTTTCTCATCACAATTTGACACCGTTACAGGCATAAACGGATGGAATGGCGTGGACGACAAAAAAATTCCGGCCAGTGGCACCTAGGTGCGCTCAAACTTTTTAGTGGCTTATGTATAATTACCAACTTTTATAATGGCACACGGGTAAAACCCTCATAATAATAATCTCAATCAATTGAAACAAAAACATTCATCTATCAATTGCTTAGATTGGTACACTAAACTACATAAACAAGGCAAACCTGCAGAAAACTAAACGTTACTAATAACCCAATTAGCCATCAAAAACTCAGTTTGGTTTTGTCAGCCGGCCATTTAGCATGCAAGCAACTGGAAACTTGAATTGCACACTTTTCATCCAATTCCCATGTAACGCATTTGCAAAACAATCTAATTCATAACAACACAAATGAGCAGAACATGCCTTTATGAAGTTCGACCCAGGGCAGTAGATGTGCCCGATCATTCAAGATCTCAAGACCACATAGTGGTAGGATAATCATTTCATCACAACAGTAGCGCAACCAATCCACCGAGCTACTGGCTATTGCTACCCCTACCCGCGACAGTTCCGGAAAACACGCATCGAGCAGAACGATTCTTGCGTCACACCAATCCGGAACTAAAATTTCATTAACCAGACCAAGATTCCTGGAACGAGCAGGGAAACGATATCGGTTGGGGAACTTACGCCATCTTCCGCGCTGTGAAGGCGTCCCTGGCCGGCTGCGAAGGGAGATCTGGAGCAGGCAAGCGAAAAGTCAGTAGCGATTAGTGAGGGAGACGGGAGGAGGAAGAACAGACGAGGCGAGGGGAGCGCGCCGCCACCTGGAGGGAGGGAGGGAGCACCGGGCGGCTGCTAGGGTTTTGGCGAGAGGGTGTGCGGCTGGTGGGAGACGGCGGAATTATAGTGCCGGGCTGCCGCCGGCTCGTTGAGCCGGGCCTGTATGGGCCTTCGTGGGCTAAATATCTAGCCGGGCCTGTATGGGCCTTCGTGTGGCAACAACTTCTGTGGGGCAGTAGGCGGAGATCCCACAGTTCGGGAGTCAGGACCTGCACAAAGCGGCGCACGTGTGGCTCGGCACCTTCGATACGGCGGAGGCCGCGCTGAGGTTCAGCAACAGGCGCGCCATGACCATGGTCTTCATTCCCCGAGTCCGGCACGCTCCAATATTGAAGAAGGTATATAGAGAGGAGGAGGAAGGTAGCTAGAGTGGTATGAAAGTCCCGGTCTCTAGTTAGGTTAGATAAACCATTATTTTAGGTCCTGTTTGCCACGATCACTAAAGAAGTTTTTTTTTTGAAGTTTTAGCTTCACAAGTAACATTTTTTTAAGCTAAAGCTGTTTTACAAACCCATTTGACAAAACAGCTTCACTAGGTAGACCAAAACAACAAAATGATTGTACTGCACTTTTCTTTTCTTTTTATATTTTTTTGCTCGTCTCCTCGGTCCTCACACCCTCACGGAGTCACAGGCGTCCCTTCTTCCTCCGGCTTTCATTTGTCTCTCCTCATTGCATCCCGGCAGGCCTCCCAGCCTGGCTCGTGTGCCCCTAGTCCCAGCGTCACCGGCTACCCCGCCTCCCATCCCAAGCCACACATCCCCACAGACACGCTTCGGCCCTGTGACCACGGCAGCCGCGCACCGACCCAATGCCCTGGCGGCGGCAACCCTGGCCTGGCATCCCGGCTCCGCGCCTCCCTCGCCCGAGCGGCTCCCCATGGCGGTGGCGTCCCCGGGCGACAATGCCTCAGTGTTAGCAGCTCTGCGTGCAGGACCCAGGCGGCTGCACCCAGGAGCCCCAGCAGCCGCGTCCCAAGCCCAGGTGGCCGTGCCCAGGAGCCCCAGCGGTCGCGTCCCAAGCCCCGGCGGCCGCGGCAGTGCCCGCTGCCCTGATGGTCGCGGCGGCTCGCTAGCCAGCGGCCATGACGCTCGCTCCTTCCACATGTTCTTTTTTCCCCTGTGCTCATCTTCTTCCCGATGCGAGTATGCGACATGGCTCGTCATCTTCGTCTCCTCCCCCGACGAGCCGCGCCCCGGCCAGCCACACCCCCGTCGCCCCTCTCCCCCAGCGAGCGTGCTCTCTCTCTGCTGGGGCAAAAGCTATCTTTTGTGCACGGTGAGACCCACATGGGAGAGATGAATCTAGAATAGGCTACTATTTTCAGCTTTATTCCAAATCATGTCTTTGTGAGAGGTGGAGAAAAATAGATTCACCCATGAAGCTGTGTTTGAAAATGAGTGTTTGACAAAAAAAAATAGCTCACCATGCCAAACAGGCCCTTAATAACTCCAATATCTAAATGCAAAGATCCACGAGTTTTGTAATGGTACAAAACTCGTGTGTTGGCTGTGTGTATTGACAAACTTTACGTGTCTGTGAATAAATTTTGTCTATAATAAAAATGGAACATATACTTTTTACGAAGAATAAAACAATGTAATTTATTCTCCGTTCTTCTTTCTTGGCAGTAATAGTTTATTGTCTAGCTAGAAAAGGGGTATTGTTCCCTCGCAAAAGCGAAAGGGAATGACTCGATGTTAGGTGGGAAGGCGTTGGCACTTATCATGTCACAAAACATAGGCCCCATTCGGCTTACCCCATATTCGGCTTGTTCGGCTTATTTTTTTAGCCGGAATATTGTTTTTCTCTCACAACAATTCAGCTGGAACAGTGTTTTTCAGCCAGTTTCAGCTAAGATTCAGCAAGCCGAACGGGTTCATAGCGGTGTTTAAGTGGTAACCAATCTCACGCTATGTATCCTAGCAAATGATAATAGTAAAAAAAAAGCATGTCTATTCATTCATATTAAGATCAATATTGAAAACAACAATAGGATGGAAAGATATAGGCATTTTGTTTCCATACGCTTAAGTCCATAGCTTGAGACCACATCACCGCAACATTAATCAGACAACAACACAAAGTAGTAATTCACAGATGATGGTAGAAGCACAACCTCTAGCAATGACAAAAAATATCGATAAAAGCCATCAATTAGTGAGCATAGTACAAGGTAAAATGAATAAATAAATGGTACAAAAGGAAATATGTTGCTGCACCAAACTTGTTGATAGTGGAACACGTGCTTCAGTTGATGAAGTCATAAATTCATGAGAAATTTTACGGTGCTGGTAAATAACGAGAGCCTTTCATTTGGCAAAATTTAATGGTTATAAAATGGAAAGAATCAACTAAGATAAATTTAGGATCCTTTGGTTGGGCTTTTCAACCTGCTTTTGCTTTCGCAAAAGCCAAAAACCAACCAAAAGACCCAAAAGCCACAAGTGTTTTTACCCAAAAGCATCTTTTCCCATAGTACAAATTTAAAAGCACCTCTCCCGTGCTTTCAGATGCTTTTGGGGCAAAAATTTACCCACCTGCCACTAGTTATGAAGATAGCGATTCGTTTCATTTCATCCGACTCCTCTCTTTCCCGTCCGCAAACAGCGACTCCTCTCTCTCGTTGCCGAACATAGCCGATGGGCGAGCACTGGCCGTGGCCGCCGTGCGCGGGCTCCTCCAGGCGAGCGCCGGCCATGGCCGCCCCGCTCGGGCTCCTCTAGGCGAGCACCGGTCGTGGCCGCCGCGCGTGAGCTCCACCAGGCCAGATTCGGCGAGCGTTGTCGGTGGGTCCGAGCGCCTCCCCCGCCCATGTTCTCTCCTCCCCGACCCCATGTTCTCCACCCGGGAAGGACTCGTCGGCGAGCACATCCGGCGCACATGCATCCCCTACCCCCGTCCTCTCGTCCCTCCGCTCCTGTCCTCCGCTTGGCTGTTCGCCAGACCCGGCGAGCACAGCACTAGCCCCCGCGAGGATGGCCCCGGCCCCGGCGGGCGGGGCGCGGCCATGGCCCGGCGTAGCAAGCTCTTGCGAGAGGAAGATGAAGATCCTGTATGTGCATGACATGTGGGGCTCGCTCGTAAGTGAGAGAAGCTTTTGCAAAAGCCACAGCTGATCAACCAAACGGGCTTTCAACCATCCCATAGTAGCTTTTACAAAAGCCACATCTCACAGTAGCTTTTACAAAAACCACAATTCAACCAAGCAGGAACTTAAGTTGTGGACCGTAACCTAAAGTAGCTTTTGCAAAACCACAACTCAACCAAACAAGAACTTAAGTCGTGGACGGTAACCTAAAATTTATGAGTTAGGAACTAGTTCTGAATTAAATTCGAAGGATACAATAGTACTTTTAACATATTTCCAATCGGCATGTTCGCTTGTTGGTTTCAGCTAGGACTTATCAGTCATAATACAGTATTTTTCTCTCACAATAAATCAGCACCAGCCGGACTTATCATCCCAGAAATCAACCAACAAACAGGCTGAATGATTTAAGACATGGCCGAACTGAGCGAAGCCCATAGCCAAGATAGCCTCCGGTGCCAAAGTACTGAACTGCCCTTAAGCATAATTAATTAGGTTTTTAATCATCAATGGCTATAAATAGATCTCAAGGGAGGACCGGTTCCTCTCAAGCACAGAAAATTCAATACTAAGACAGGGAAGTGAAATGGACGAGGAGAATATAGATTAATGTACAACACGCTAGATGCAAAGTTTATGTGACTACTATTCCAGCCCTGATTAAAAATAACAAAATATATGTTAATGACGCTTTGCCATCTAGTACAGAAAAGCTTGAGCGTCGCCAGGCAGTAGATACGCTCATGCATCCACCCAGGGCGTGGATTGGAATATGCAAACCAAATAAAATTTATTTAACTTGCATATTACTCTATTGCCCTCAAGGACTCAACTCAAGCTACCTCAAGAGTCAAGACGCATTGCCACATATTGTTGGGGCTCTGAATTGAATAACTCCACATGATGTGTCCGTGAATTAAGTCCTAAATAGGTCACAATGGTAATGCATACTCAATTACAATAAACCCAGTATGGATGAAAGCATATTTTTGAAACAAATACTAGTACTAAATTTATTGGAATAATTTCATACAACAAACCAACATGGATGAAAGTATTTTTTGAAACAAATACTGGTACTGAATTTGTTTCAATAAATTTAATGGAAAAGCATGTAATCCTGTGACCAAGGAATGTGACGAGTAACAAATTACATGATGCTGCTTCTGTCCTACAAAAAGAAACGACAAGAATAAGGATGAAATTGTAATAAGGTATTACAAATGTAATAGTTTCAAACATCCATAATGTTAATAGTTACGTGGATCATTGTACACATGTTGCAGGAGGCATTAGTACAATAATGGTCTTGTAGACGACTGACTCCCAGATAATAGTGACAAAACAATGGTAACACAAAGAAAAAATTGCAGTTGGGTTGACCACTTGTTTTCTTAGTTACCATGATCGTTGTCTTGTTGTTTTGATTCAGTTCATCAAAATATAATGTGACTCGCAGTATCAAAGCAAACACTCTAGTAATGTAGCAGTGCGTTCCTTTGTTGTAGCACCAACCAACCAGGCCAGCCACCAAGGTGAATTAAAATCCCTGTCCAGTACTAAAAAGAGGCCCCTCGTTGTGTTCCTTGTATGGCGGTGTTGGTCTGGCCAAGGAGCGACAATATATACTCCTTTTTTTTTACGTATTGTATTAGCTTTCTCCTAAGTTAAACTTACATGTTGTATTAGCTTTGTCCTAAGTTAAACATTTGTATCTTTGACCATCGATTTCAAAAAATTATCTAGGCTCATGACATAAGGTTTATGTTTTTAGATTGAGTTAACTATAAAAAATACTTTCGTACTATATAATCCATATGTTACAAAACTATAAGGATTTGTTGAGATGGAAGGTCAAAAATAGTAATATTTGGCTTAGGACAAAGCTAATGTGATAGATGAAGAAGAACAGAACGAGTAGGGTTACTAGACCTCTAAGGCCGACTCCATGCTCGTGGTTTTTACTTATACAGTATAAAAATTGATGTGGCACACGGAGGAAAACAAGTCGTATGGCTAACTAGTTAGAATCATTTGTATTTTTTTAAATGGTATATAGAATCATCTACATATGTTCATAACATGACAAAAACGTTTGTCAGCAGCACAAAACTATATTGGCGCAATAATACAGTGAAGGTTACCGGAACTCATCAGCTAAGCACAAATGAAATGTTCCATGGGCATTACAGACATGTGAGCTACGACTTCCATCCAGAAAGAAAAATGTAATTCTAGCTCTAGTCAAACTAATCAAATTTATAAAAAATGTAGTGTCAAATATTTTGACACGCAAAACAGTCACAGTATTAAAATTTATTCTATGAAAAACCTAGTGATATATACTTCATATCATAAATATTGACACTTGTTTTTATAAATGTGATCAAACTCAAGATGGTTTGACTTAGTACTGTTTTAGAATTGCAAGAATAGATATATACAATTTTGTCTTGATATATAGAGGAGTCAGCTCGTATCTTTAATTATATGACAAATGAGCGATGGATGGTTGGGATGATCATTAACTGTCTTCCTAATAGCATCCTCTGCTTCATCGCAATCGTTCATTAACTGAATGACAAGATGACGCAGAGAAGGGAGGTTTTCGAAGCCATAATCGAAGTTATATTGGTCCGGAATTGCTCATTAGTTGCTTTGGGGGCAAATGAAAGGCAAAGTTTTTGAAGTTTTGGCATAGTCCCTTGTTCAAACTTAAGGAACAACATGGGACCCCAAAGCTCAAGATGTGTTAGACATGGGAATCCAGATGCACTGCCGAGCTTCTCCTGCTCCTCTGGTTCACCAATTGAAAATATATGGAGAAAAAGAACCTAGTTTTTTTTTTCTTCTTCTTCTATTTTAGGGAAATCGAGTAAGATAACTAGGCTATTGGAGTTGCTCTTAGGAGCTACTAGAGCAACTATGTCCACATCAAGACTATTTCCAATTCCAGAGCCGATAGACTTATTCACCTCCTCCCATCCCACTATCGGTTTACTAGCCAGTAAACTTGCTACAGTAATAATGGATAATAATAATACACCTCCACATTGCTTTAAGATTTTTCTGGTGACGGGAGCCATGAGTAGTTTACTTTCCTAGACTTTTATTGTTACTTGTCGCCATAAGATGATACTACCACGCAAATGATTTTTACGGACCGTCAAAAACAAGATTCTGATCCAGTTATCAAACCGTTACTACGTCATTGATTATAAAAATAAGTTATTTTTCAGATACTTTTTAGGGCGGTAGACAAACCCTAAAATCATTTTTCAGGGACAGTTCTCTTAATGTGACCGGGGGCCTATAGAATTAACCACCAATCATATGTTTCAATTTTCGGTTTGTGTTTGCACAAGTGCATCTGCGGGAATTTAAACCCATAACCTCTTGCCTCGTGCGTACCACCTTTTACAAAACACCACTCAATCACATGTGACTACATATATGAAGATATCCTTTTGTACTATACACGTACAAATCTTGCAATCAATATTTTTACTTGTAAACGATCTTAAATGAAAAAATCTCCAACTACAAAATTTTAGATCTCATCGAGCACTACAACTTCGATATACGGAATAACTCTACTGAGGTCATTTAAAAAAATTGTAAATTTGAAATTCAAAATCTAAGAACTTAATATATATATATATATATATATATATATATATATATATATATATATATCAACATCCCTAAACGATTTCAAGTAAAATTTTCATCAAGTACAAAGTTCTAGATCTTGTCGAGCTACAACTTTGATATAAATTTGTCTTCATCCGACTTTATTTAAAAATTTATAAATTTATTTATGCTTCAACTATTTTTTAAGGGTGGTTGACTTAGTTAACCCACCATTGAAAATCAATTTTAGGGGTGGTTAACTCCCTAGAAATCACCTATTTTCAGGGGCAATTCTCTTAAGCCGACCCCCCTAAAAAAATATATTTTTAGGGATTTAAGAGAACAAGCCCTAAATAGATATGTTCTGAGACGGTTTGTAAGCTACAATGCTCTCAGAGCTAGTTAAAGACTGTTTGTTAAGTAAACCATCCTTGAAAAAAATAGAAGATGCCTGTAAAAATTATTTTTGTAGTAGTGTGAAACCTACACCTAGCTTAGCAAGAGTTCTATTTTAGGCATCATTTTTTGTATTAATTAAATTAAATTTGCTTAGTGTTTATGATTTTAGTTGAAACCACCTATTCACCCTGCTAGTCGGCACCCTTGATCTTACAAAGATCCTAGGGATTAAGTGATTAAGACTAATATGAAGTAGTTGGGTTTAGTAGAGAGAACTCATTGTGACAGAAAAGCCATAACACCAAAGAAAAAAGATATGTGCACTTGGCTTGCATGGCCACAAAATTTCTTAGCTCCCATGCATGGTTGTTTTGTCGTAACTCGCAGTATATAAAAAAAACCCAGCACACCGGGATTAACTGAACAGCGACATGACGGAGAGAAGGGACGTTCTCCAAGCCGTAATCAAAGTTTGTGGCAAAATGTCGATTAGTCCACATAGCATCAAATGAAAGTTGAAGTCTTTGAAGTTTTCGCATAGCCCCGTGTTGAAACTTAAGGAACATTAGGGGACACTCAAACTGAAGTTCTGTTAGACACGGGAACGCAGATGCCCCACTGGGACAAATGAGCATTTCCTGATTTTGTGAACAATGAAGTGCGTATAGTCTGAGAAAGCGGAGAGATGGAAGCCCAGCAAGATTGTCAAGGTGCTCAGGCTGGACATCCACATGGTGGAGTCCGATGGTTACGGCAGTGAGACGAGAGAGCGACGGATTAATCCACCTTGGGGATGTCATCATAAATAAGCCATTGCTCACGAATCTCTGGAGACCACAAGGCACCTGTTCCATGAAATCCAGGGGATATTCTCCAGTGGAGGCTTCAAGGAACAATACTTGTATACTAGGGCACATTTGTAGGCACTTGAAGATCAATTCGTTCTTGGTGTCAAAATTATCGAGGAAGATGGATAATCCAAGGACCTTTAGCTGTCTCAGCTTACCAATCTCAGTCACTGCATGCGAGGTAACAAGAATGCCTACTAGCTCTTGTAGAGATTCCATCAGCCTGTTCGTTTGGCTGACTTGTCGTAAACGATCGTAAATTTCCAGCCGAAACAATATTTTTCTCTCACACAAACCAGCCAGCAGTACTTCTTCTCCAGAGTCAGACCATCTGGCAGTATCACCGTACTAGCCATTAGCCGAACCAGTTTACCTAGTTTACCGAAAGACAGTGGCAAACTTATCATGGAACCTCTTATGTCTAATGTCTCGAGAGACTCCAGCTCGCCAATACTCTCGGGTAGCTTTGTGACATTCAAACCATGTAGTCGCAGAAATCTCAGGAGACGCAACTTGCCAAGATCATTGACATGATTGTTATCTAGACCAGAGCAGTCATCGACCTGCAACACACGCAGGACAAGAAAGCTCGACAGGGGCGGTATCGACTCGACCTTGCCAAAGATATCAAGTGACCTCACTTTACACAGCTTCTCCATTGCTTCGTCTGGCGAGCCATAGGATTTGTTGCTGTTACGGAGAGACAGCCGGCGGATCTTCTGCTGTTGCATCGCAGGTGTACTTGTGCCTACTTGTTGACCATCTAACAACAACGTTGTAACAAAAGCTTCTTCCGCTGACAACTGATTTATTAGCTCATGCACCATGTCATGCACTTGGCAAGAATGCACCAGGCCATCTCGCTTAAAAATGAGAGGTTCTTCTACTGCCTGGATCAGGCTTCGATTGATGAGCTCGCTGAAGTAGTTCTCTCCTATCTCCTCCAAGCTTGTCCCTGCAGGTTGTTGCATCTCCTCTGTAATGAAACCCTCTGCTACCCAGCTCCATATCAAAACATCCTTTCTCATCACCTGATCCTCAGGATATTTGCTCAGAGATAACAATCAAGTCTTCAAGTGAAAAGGCAGATCATTGTAACTGAGACTTAATATCTTCCTCATCTTGTCCACATCTAGACTATCTCCAAGTCCAGAACCGATAGACTCATTCACCTTCTCCCATTACACTGAACACATTGGTTTACTAGCTAGTAAACTTGCAGTAGTAATAATGGCTAATGGTACACCACCACATTTTTTAAAGATTTTTCCAGCAACTTCTCCCAAACTCGGAGGACACCCACCATCAGTGTCAAATATTCTCTTGTTGAACAACTTTCTTGAACCAAAATCAGAAAGTGGTTTCAGTTCATAAACACCACCGCCAACATGTTCTGCAACAGTCTTATTGCAAGTGGTTATCTTGCTCTCAGGATGACCACCTGGGAAAGCAAGTTTGATGGCATCCCAGGCCGATTCTTTCCATAAATCATCAATCACGCACAAACACCTAGTTGTAAATAGACACAGTATGCACAGGTGTGTTAGTGAACCAAGATGCAATTATATATGCGGATGTCTAGCTGAAAAATATATAGAAATAAGAAATCTAGCACGTTGGATATTGTAAATGGTGTGATCAAATCAAACTAGTAGCAAGGTGAGTAGGTGACTGCAAGATGCATGGATAATCACCTCTGGGGAAAGTAAATGATTTAATTATCAATCATGCAAGTGTCGTTAACATAGCTAGTCTAGACTATAAACCAACTATCCCTCCTCTCGTAAGAAAATATTATGGAGGCTTTGAACATTACAACAGAAATAATGAATGACAATTATCTGGGATTCCCTGTGTGTTTGTGGGGAGAGCAAGGACACATGTGTTTGCATACCTGAAGGAAAGGATATGGCAGAGAATACAGGGTTGGAAGGAAAGGTTGCTATCTAGAGCGGCGAAGGAGATTTTAATAAAGGCAGTCACCCAAGCAATCCCAGTGTTCACGATGGGCTGCTTTGATATTACAAAGGAGATGTGTAACCAAATCAGCTCAATGATTGCAAGATTCTTGTGGAACAATCAGGATAAGGAGAATAGCATGCACTGGATTGGATGGGAGAAACTAGTCAGACCAAAAGCTGAAGGAGGTCTGGGGTTCAGAGATCTATACTCCTTCAGCATGGCTATGTTGGCAAAACACGGGTGGAGGCTGCTGCAGAACCCTGAATCACTATGTGCCAGAGTTCTGAAAGCTAAATATTTCCCAGACACAGGTCTACTGGAAGCAAAAGCAAAGGAAGGATGCTCATACACTTGGAGGAGCATACTTCAGGGGGTGGAGGTGCTGAAAAATAGTGTGATTTGGAGGGTAGGTATGGGCAGAGAATAAACATTTGGGCTTTTTTTTAACACAAATAAAAAATACTATTCTTTCACCTTTTAGCAAACATTTGGGCTGATCCATGGTTACCAAGAGAGGTGACAAGGAAACCGATTACGCCAAAGCTGATTGACCCAGCCACTGAACAATGGGATGTCCCCCTCCTTAACCAAATATTCTAGGATGAGGATGTGCAAGATATCCAATCGATGCCAGTTCATGTGGAGATGGAGGATATTATCGGGTGGCACTTTGATAGCAAAGGTATGTTCTCGCGGTGGGATCAGCATATAATGTACAAATAGTAGTAGAACCAAGGCGGAAACGAAGAAACTCAATAAACAGATCAGAAGGAAGTAGTGGAGAAACTGATTATTGGAGAACTGTGGAACATAGCCTGTCCACCGAAGATTAAGCATTTCCTATGGAGACTGAGCCATAACACATTGGCGTCAGAAAGGTGCTACAACGAAGAGGGATGGAACTGGATACAAAGTGCTGCATGTGCTGTCGTAGGCTGGACGAGGATGGTGGTCACCTGATGCCGAAATGCGAAGAAGTAAAACAAGTGTGGAGAGAGCAGAACTTGGAGGAGCTAAGGTGCAGGTTGTCCAAGGGTGGGACAGCTAGGAAGATGATAGAGATGGTTTTGGCACTGGAGAGAAGGAGCAGCTAACAGCACGTGGTGATGCTACTGTGGCTCTGGTGGGGAGAAAGAAATAAGCAGTGAGGGGAAGGGAGGAGGCTATCAGCAATCGAGATTGCATATATCACAGAATTTCAGGCTGACCAATTTCAGAAATAGAAGAGAAGAAGCTCTTGTCGGACAGTCGACAGAGAAGGAAATGGAGCAGGACACAAGAGGGCAAGCTAAAAATCAACTCGGATGGCGTGTTTGATAGCTCTCGGAAAGAAGGGGGCTGGGGCTTTGCCATCAGAGGTGACCAAGGCCGGGTGATGAAGACGGGTACTGGTTGGGAGGGTTTTTTACTTGACGCATTCCATGCCGAATTACTTGCAGGATTGCAAGAGGCGACCAACATGGGAATTTCGCGACTCTGCATTGAAACAGACGTGACTCTGATGAAGGCAGCGCTGGAGGGGGATGAGTACTGTCTGTCGGTGATGGGAGGAGTGATCACAGAGCTGAAGCACTTGATGAGGTTTGAGCATATATCTTGTAAGATAAGTGTGTGTAAGCGCGATTGTAACAAAGTAGCGCATTCTCTAGCTGCTATTGGGTCTAACTACTCTAGTGGAACTAGTACCACTTGGGAAGGTGTACCTCAAGAAATTGAGGATTTGGTGAGCAGCGGTTTAGCTGGGTCTGATGAGTAATGAAAAGCACCTTAAGTTAAAAAAAAAAAATTGTTTTACTCTCACATTTTACTGAATAAAATTTGACTATTAAATTCAATTGATGATCAGGCAAGCAAGTATACTTCGAAAATAATTCCACTGATGGTCATTTCTCCGTCAAAGACCACGGTTTGAGTCCTACTACGTTTTTTAGTAAGGTAATTTTATTGGATTTAGGTAGTGTTAGCAAGTGTGTGGTTATTAAAAAGTTTCGCAAAATAAGCAGTACAACAACGACAAAGCCTTTTAGTCCCAAGCATTGGGGTCAGCCATGAAATAATCATTAGTTTACCAAAAATACAAAGTGGAGTATGCTGGTTCTAACACTTTTGACACCTAGCTGTATGTGTGACGAGTTATAGAATCTAAACTTCTAGTATAGAATCTAAGCTTACAACCATAGGCTAAGAAAGTACTCCCTTTGTCCCAGAATATAAGGTATCATAGGAATTCTAGGACAAACTATTGGCTAAACCAAATGACGCATGTAACCCTCATTTAACATAGAAAGATCTTGTGCTCACCATGTTTTGAGTCTGGTGTGGATACTTATTGTAGGTACATATGTGATTGGTGTATTGGGAGATTTAATTTACCTAGAATACCTTAATTTGGGATACATTTTGAATGCTTCAATACCATATATTCCAGGACAGAGGGAGTAATACAATCTTGAATGGACCAGTTACTGCATACTTTATCATCGTTCTCTCATAAAAAAACATATTTGCTAACAATGATGAAGAGCAGGTATAACCAAAATTGTACCTTCTATTCTGGAGAAATTCTATAATTTTGTCAATTAGCTGGTTCACTTCCCATCCTTCATCTAAGTGGCTATACTTCTTCTCATCAAGTTGGAGAAGGATGTTCTTGAAAATTTTCCTTATGTCAGGATTAAGGGTGACTGAGACAAAAATATGAAAATCAAATTTTGCTTTAAGATCTTGAAGCAATGAATTGGCAAGAGTTGTCTTCCCCAATCCTCCAAATCCAACAATAGAAACTATATTTGATTGCTGCCTCCATGTTGACGAGTGGATCTGTTCCAAGAGTCGTTTAGCTAGCTCCTTCTTTGGCTGGCCAATGCCAACCAGCTCTGTTGCCTTTCTGTACATACCTTCTAAGCGAGGATCAACAGCCACCATAGCTAGCCTTGCAGCGATGTTGTCAATCTTGTACCTATCACGACGCTCAGCAACCTTCTTGACCTGGTCCTTGATGTCTTTGATAACATTGTAGATCTTATGGTTAGTCTTTGCCTTCTTGTATAGATCGGCGGCCTTACCAATGAGCCCCTCGAGTCTGAATGGGCTGGTATGTTCGTGCTCCTTGTCGTGCAACATGAATGTGTCAACTTCATCTTCTATGTCATATGAAAGCTCCCTCACATAGCTGGCCCAGATCTTGACCTGCTCATCAAGCTGGTCCGGCGGCACTTCAGCCACCTTGTGGAGGGCTGTGGTCATACTTATCAGCTCATCCTCGAGTTCCTTGATCTCTCCCTTGACACTCTTCTGCAGCTTGTACTCGCCAACCATCAGTTTCGCAAGCTTGGGGAGGAGGGTGTTCATCACCCCCATGGCGATGTCCATCTTGGACGACTATCTTCTTTATTATGGTAGAAGAAGTCTATACCTCTCAGCGTGGAATAAGTAATAACCAGCAAGATCTAAAAATGGTTTACTCGTATTGCTGATCAACAACCACCTTCGGCCAAGGCACAAGAGAACTAGTTATGCTCACAGTCTGGGAGCAGTCGGAGGGAGAGAACAGCGCAACAAACAATTGCAGGCATACAGGACGAAGCAAAGAACTGGTCAGTGCTATGCAGGAGACAGGCCTCTGGAATGATCACCCCTGCACACATCAACATAAATCAGAATCAAATGTTTAGATAATCTTTTTTTTAAAACAATGTTTAGATGATTTTTATTCTTTCTTTCGAAGTTGAACTGATGTCTTTATTATTACTGTAAATTAGACTTCTTTCTTGAGGGGTGTCAAGCAATCCAGTAAACTACTGGAAGCCTTGTAAATCCTCATGCTGCTCGCACGTTTTGTAGACTCTTTCTCTACTTATAAATACATGCCGACAACAGATCTTCTAAAAAAAAGACTATCTTCTTTGTTAGGGGATAACAGTTGGTTGTGTCTAAGAGCATTTTGCAATTTGGAGGTGTTGGGCTGTGGTGGTCTGCACAGGCAGAAAGGTGCGATTAATAAGCCCTTGTGTTAACACAAGGCATCAAATTATCAAATTAACCTAGCAATTTTATGAAACATCTGAATACAGAAAGAAGAACTCCACTCAAAATCAAGCTTGAGGTGAGAGAAGTTTAGACAAATTTCTCGTCTAATTAGTTTACCAAATTACCCATCGAAATCTATATCGAACCAACTGGCCATAAGGAGAAAGAGCTATATGTATCAAGTTCTCACATCTCACCTGCTAATCGATCCCAGCAGAGAATACCGTGAGCAGCGTGGACTCTGGCTCCAGCAACCAACCTCTTAACAAGTATACACAGCTGCCGGTGACCGTCAACCCGCCATCGGGAACCCAATTCAATCTGACACCAAGACTATATACTGTCGTAGCGCACACGAGGTAAGGCCGATCTTGTCACCAGCTAATTGCTTAAACTACTACTACAAGTGTGAGCTGTCTTTGATTAAGAAATTAAATTGGCTTAGTGGGTGCCATCCTGCTTTATATAACGACAAGAAATTGCTTAAACCAATGCAACTGTGACCTAAACAATTGTGGTGGTGTACAATAGATACTATAACCGCCCCTCGAAACCTTTGCCAAGGGGCCGAAGCTTCGATGGTTACAAGTTCCCAAATAAATAAAACAGAGGTTTAGGGAGAAGTAGAACAAAAGGGAAACAGAACTAGGAAAAATGGTACTGTATTATTGTACCTCTTATTCAACAGTTGCAGATTCCTTATTTATAGGGAGACGAATGGTGCCTCCTAATAAATTACCAAACACACTGAATCAGCACAACATATTCCTAGCATATCCCTAGGCATAAGGATCTATTTTGTCCATTTTCTAACAACGATCTGTGCCAACACGCTCCAACGTGATCCCTGGACCTTGTTGATGCAGCTTAGACCCTCGGGCTGGTGGGTTCTTCAGCCTCGCATTATGGGCCTCGCCTTGCTGTTCACCCTATTTTTTAGGAATCTAGAGGGGCTGAAGCCCTGCAGCTTAAATTAAGAACTTATAGAAAGCGTAGGGGTACAAAGATTGAAGATAAAAAATAAAAATACAAAAAAGATAAGCTCCAGACAGCCTTTGTTATATATATTGCAAAAGGTTCCAACACAATTGCTTTTGGCACCTCTATCTGTGATGAGTTATAGAATCTAAACTTCTACTACAAAACCTAGCTTATAACAACCATAGGCTAATGAAAGCACTTGAATCTTTAAAATGCCAGTTACTGCATACTTTATCACTCACTCAGAAAGGAAAAGAAATATTAACGAATGATGATGAAGAGTAGGTATAATTAATATTGTACCTTCTATCCTTGAGGAGCTCTATAATTCTGTCGATGAGCTGCTTCATTTCCCATGGTTCATCTTTGTTGACACACTTTTTGTCGTTAAGTTGAAGCAGGATGTTCTTGAAAATCATCATTATATCAGGATTAAGGGAAATCAAGACAAAAATATGGCAATCAAAATTTTCTTTAAATTCTTGAAGCAATGAATTGGCAAGAGTAGTCTTCCCCAATCCTCCAAACCCAACAATAGAAATTATATTTGATTGCTGCCTCGATGATGATGAGTAGTGCTGTTCCAAGAGTCTCTTAGCTTAGCTCATTCTTTGGCTGGCCAATGCAAACCAGCTCTGTTGCCTTTCTGTACATACCTTCTAGGAGAGGATCAACAGGCACCATAGCTGGACTCGCAGCAATGTTGTCAACCTTGTACCTATCACAACGCTCAGCGACTTTCTTGACCTTTTCTATGATGTCCTTGACAACATCGTGGATCTGATGGTTAGTCTTGGCCTTCTTGTACAGATCGTTGGCCTTACCAATGAGCCCCTCGTTAAGGCTGAACGGGTTGGTATGCCCTTGCTCCTTGCCGCACAACATGAAGGTATCAACTTTATCTTCGATGTCATAGGAAAGCTCCCTCACGTCGCTGGCCCAGTCCTTGACCTGCTCTTCAAGCTGGTCTGGCGGTTGCTCAGCCACCTTGCAGAGGGCTGCGGTCATGCTTGTCAGCTCTTGCTCGAGTTCCTTGATTTCTTCCTTGACACCCTTCTGCAGCTTGTATTCACCAATCACCAGTTCCACAAGCTTGGGGAGGAGAGTATTCGTTGCCCCTGTGGCAAGATCCATCTTGTCCTAGCTTGTTTTGGTGGCAAACACTTGCTTAACTGTGTATACAACTCTGTATCGCTGCACACCTGTAATTGATTTACAGACAACTGAACAGTGAACACCTGTATGAATAAATTAATAAAGCAGAAAAACATGCAGAAGATAAAAATAGAGGAGATCAAGCATTGAAATCCAGCATATATATCAAACCAAAACTAGATCAATTCAACGTGAAGCCAAATATACCCCTGTAGTTTTGGAGGAAAAATGCTTCCAGAAAACAAATAAAGAGCTCAGATGCAAGGAAAATCTACCCTGTGAGGTAATCGTGCAGGACTTTGTGTCCCTTCTACTGAATATTCTCGACACCACCCAGTGGAGCCATCTCTCTGGTGGATATCTCACCAGCTCGCAGTTGAGAAATAAGCCAAGTTTCCTTTTCCCCAAGGAGGGCAGGAGAGTGCAGCGGCTGAGGCTGCTTCCCCTGCTGCCCTTTGCCTTGGCGAGAAGACGGAAGTGAATAGCAATAACAGAGCACACTCTCTCTAACCAAAGCGACTAGCTCAAAGTAGCACCACCTTTAGTTTGTGCTGCGGCAACTTTTTTTGGTGAGGGCACCTCAGAGCTTATTATATCTCTAGCTTTAACGCAGATATGATTCCAAGGTAGGCACCTAAAAGCCAATCATGTTGGTACCGTTCATCAGCCCATACCTCTACGTAGGTTAGCAACATTTTAGAGAAGACAAGCATAATTGGACTTCATGTGATGTCTTGGTATAGGATTTAGAGCAGATTGATGTGTGTCAGTGACCATGATTCCTTACTTATATTGCCCCAGAAACTTTGATTTTTTCGGGCTTCCCTTACATAAAAGACATATGTTATATGTTTTTCAGCTTCACCCATTAAACTCCACAGTGGAACACCTTCGCCATGGAGTTGGATCAGAGAGCTTTTGATGGGAATGGTCTATTGCTCCCTTGTTCTTTTGCATGTTCAGATATATATAACTAAAGCACAAGTGTAGTTATATCTGTCCAATGGGAAGGCATTAGAAACTGGCTGTTGTATAATTAAACTGTGGTACAACAGGAAGAGAGTAGGAACGGTCCACGGTATCATTGGTAGTGATGTCAGTCCAACGAGCACTCGCTAGGCATTGGATGTTAAATAAGAAACACTAGGGCAATGGTCTAAAGCTGCATGGAAATGGATGACCATCCAACCACTAACATTTGCAGATGACTAAGCAAACGAGCATTTTACAACATCCATGATTCACTTTCCGTTTCAAAAATAGGATGTTTTTCTACTACTAACTCGTACGCGAGTTTAACCATGAAAGCCAAGGCGATATTTTTTCTTACCTGAAGATCTGAAGGTGCACGAAGAATGCCCGACGGTGGAATCCCAGTTGATTGGACACAAATTTGTGGTCCACACATCAATCAGCAGCATAGATGGTTCCCCCCGCCAGCGCCGGCATGGGAACTCCCCTGGCGCGGCGGCACCGGCATCTGGGCGGCGGCGTCGTGCGGCGTCTGGAAGGTGGGGAAGGGGAACGGATGGGCGGGATAAGCCAGAGAGGCGCCGGCGGGATCCATTTCGCGGGGCACAATGACGCTGGCGGCCGGAATCCAAGGGTGGCAGCTGCCCCTTGGTGTCGTGTGAGAGAAATCTGGAGCTTTTGGAGGCGTATCTGGAGTCCAAGGGCGGTGGCCTCCAGTGTACCACTTTGTACTCCTCTCTTCCCAAAATAATCCGCTCATGCTCAGCACAAATTTTTTGCTCATGCCCTCCTTCTTGGTGCCAAACTGATTGTGGCTCTTGACTTGCATGATGAACTCTTTTTACTGATAGATAATCAGGCGCTGGCCGATGCGTTTTGTGCTGGTTCGCCTCGCACTCTCTGAATTCCAAGCAATCATTCAAGCGAGAAGTTTGTGTGTTATCAAGATTGGCAGAGCATCAAACAAGACAACTGATACACTTGTAAACGTGGCAAGACATGCTAAGATTCCAAACTCGTCGTCACTCTTACTATGTATTAGCTCAATACGCCGATATGTAATATCAATCAAGTACTTGAACATTTCGATTGGGCAGTCTTCACCCCATATATGTACCTGTTTGTGATGCAATAGAATTTTAATTTTGAAAAAAAAGAGAACCCGACCTCTCGTGTAAAAAAGTTTGGTACAGTTTCTCTTGTATCGACTGCATCGATGAACAACCGTGTAAAACGGTTGAACAAACCCCACATTGTTTGAAGCTCAGTTATACTTGCAAAAAATTTGGTATGGTTCTGCAATTGCAGCACTATACAAGAAGGCGTATCAAATAGAAAAATGCATTAACTCTGAAAATGTTGATGTATGATAAGTACTATGGTTGGAAATGTATCTGTGTAGGTTGGTCACCTGAAACAAAATGAACTGTAAAGGAAAAAAACATCATGTCACAGAAAAAGTCATAATTCGGTACAATCTCTACTTAGAACACTAAAAAAATGTATCCATGGTAGCTTTCTTTCAAGAAAACAGCAACGCTTCCCTAAGCTTTCTTTCAAGAAAACAGCAACGCTTCCCTAAAAAAAAAAGAACCAGCAATGCAGTCTCATCTTAATTGAGAGTTATGATAGATACTTCCATTCATATGCCTTGCTGAATAGAAATACTCTTTGCAAGCTTGTAGCACAAGAATGTTCATGCTCCTGTGCTTATCTGTCTCATACTCTTTAACTTGTTCATGGTATGACAGTTAAAAGTGTCACTATTACAATTTACTCCCTCCGGTTTTGATATTAAGGTCGTTTAGGACAAGGTTTAGCATACCAAGGTGTAATTAATTTGGGTCTATTCTTCCATGTTTGCCCTTATTAAATATGCCTCGGAGTTGTTTCAATATAACAAAGTCTCTCCACCCGAGTGGCTATTGCATTAGTTACGGGTCCCGGAGAAACTTTGAGTTCGATTCCTCAAATTCTTTGGTTTTTTGGCGATTTTGCATGGCCCATTCTAGACGTATTGGCCTTTAACATGCGGCAGCATTGACGAGGTCGGAGCCTTGCTAGTAATTGCATCGCGAGCTTTGTGGAAACCGCGGAAGCACTAAAGCGCGTTAATGCTTGGGGCTTCCGTAGTACTAAAGTAATTTGCATGCGGCCCTCCGTTTTCTCCGTTCATGGAGCATGCGTCCATGGAGCGAGAGAGCCGGGGCTCTCGACCATGGACGGCTCCATGAACGGAGAAAATGGAGGCCGCATGCAAATTATTTAAAGCGGTGGGAAGAGCGGGAGCTACAAAGCGGTTTAATTACCGCCTCGGGGCGAGCAAATCGGCCATGCAAGGACGAGCTACGTCAATGCGCACTGCTAGCGATATAGTCTAGAATGGGCGCCAAGACGCCCGAGCGAAATGATTTGATGCAAAATCGCCAAAACCAAAGAAAACTGGAGGAATCGACCAAGAACCTCCGTGATCTGAACTAATGCAATAGCCAAATCCGCCAGTGGAGAGACTTTGTTATATTGAAACAACTCCCGAGGCATATTTAATAAGGGCAAACATGGAAGAATAGACCTAAATTAATTATACCTTGGTATGCTAAACCTTGTCCTAAACGACCTTAATATCAAAACCGGAGGGAGTATACTGCAATGCAGCAAGGAGCTACAACTGAATGACAATAGGCGAGGACGTCAGATCAATGATCTTTGGGCAAATGCTGGAAATGCAGTCTCTTCTCCGGGGCCGGCCTACTGGAGTCAGGGTAACCAAGTCTACCACATGGTTTCCATCAAGGATATGGCGGCCATCACCATCATCTGAACTAGCATTGGGCATCAATAACGGAGACATCAGTCCTGTCCCTTCTTCCAATCCGTCATCGTCGCTGCACGGGCTCAAGGAACACAGAGGCGATGTTCTTGGTCCATTCAGTTCTCTCCTTGTGTCAAGGATTTCGCTCCTTTCCATTGGAGGAGCGAACTCGTCAACTAGGTCATCCTCGACATCAGAACCAGCAGCTCTTGTTTGCTCGTCCATTGGCTGCACTTGATCATCAGAGGACGGTTGCTGGAAACAATGGTCAGAATAGGAATATCCATCTCGGAGAGGCGAATCAGACGGTTCTTCGTCATTATCTTGGGGCTCCTCACGGATGTCATTGCCATCCTCCTCAGACGACGGGCTGTCAGCCTGGCACTGCAGATCCTCCATCGCGCAGACGGCAGTCTTCATCTGGCTCGGCAGCGACGGGCAGCCGGCGGTGAACTTGGTGTTCTTCGAGGAGAAGAAGTTCACCGTCAAGTTCAGGCTGACGACACAGCATCACATTCCATGTCAGTATACCATGAATAGCCAAGAAATGCAGAGATAGGAACGGATATCAGAGATAAAGGACGGGGCTTTTGCTTACTTTTCCCATGAGGGGAGGTTGAGCATGGTGTACGCGAGCTTGACCTTGTTGCCGATGCCGCTGAGCGACTTGAATTCGGCGGCGGCCTTGCGCACGGCGAGGGACTCCGTCGGGTGCTGCCACGCCCACTCGAACTGCAGAGCGCACGCCACGAAACAGAGCTCTTCAGATCAGCAATAGAACATAGCAAGATTTCCGTTCGAGAAGGCAGAGGCAGAGACCGGGCTAGGTCGAGGAGCAGCGTACCTGGAGGGCGGCGACGTTGGAGGGGAAGCCGTAGATGCAGAGCACCATTTCCCAGGGCCGGCCGCGCCGGGTCCGCCACGCGCCGCTGACGATCTCGCCGTTGTGCTGCCGGATCCGGCGGCGCGGGTTCACCGTGAAGCCGATGTAGGTGCGACCCTTGCTGCGCGGGCAGAGGGACCGGAGCAGGTAGCAGCAGAAGAACACGCCGCCGGCGGCGGCAGCTCCTATTACGTTTGGAGGCGGGCGGGCGCCTTCTGTGGCATCGCCGTCGCCGTCGCGGTCGGCGTCCGGTTGCGCGGGCGAGGGTTTCCTCCTTGGCCTCCAGGTGCCCCTCGCCGCCGCTCCTCTCCTGGCCATGCCCTCACTCGCCTGTCTGCGCTGCGCCTGCGCGTGGGATTGTGATTGATTCCGCAGATTTTTTCTAGAGAGAGACGGGGATGATTTGACCGTTGGAATCTGCAGAAGGGGAAGGGAGAGAGAAAGAGCCGTTGGTGAGGACACGTGTGGGCTCCGGTAGCCTCGGCCCAATTGTATCTGCCGATTGGGCCTGAGTTGTGGAGTACGGAGTAATAACGGAAAAAGGCTTTTCTCCTCCGCTTTCGTGATTCTTCGATTTTCATTTTCTCCACGCATTCATAAAACCTGACTTTTCCCTCTTTGTAATTTGTAACTTTAGGCCTCGTTTAGTTTCTCTCCTAAAATTTACTCCCTATCTCATTGAATATTTGGACATATACATTGAGTATTAAATATAGACTAAAAATAACTAATTGCACAGTTTACAACTAATTTACGAGACGAATCTTTTAAGCCTAATTAGTTCATGATTTGACAAAGTGGTGCTACAGTAACATATGTGCCAATGACGGGTTAATTAGGCTTAATAAATTTATCTCGCTGATTACTGACGGATTCTGTAATTTGTTTTTTTAATTAGTATCCGAACACTCCATACGACACCCCCACGTGACACCTGATGGGACACCCCCAAACTTTACGCCCTGGATTTAAAAGGCCTTAATTAAAGCTGTATAAAGTTGGACTATGATCTTTTCCGACGTGACACTACATTCCATTTGAAGGATAAATTGGACTTTGTTGATATTTTAAGGAAGTAAAACAAGTAACAAATAGTTTTTTTTGGAAATTTTATGAAATTAAAAATCACAACTGATTTAACCTCAAAAATATTTTATCTCAGCCTATATGAAAAGAGATTTCATATTTTTTCTAAAATCATGCTCAGCATGAGTGGCTCTTTAGATCCAAACAGGTCTAGGTAATTGTTAGCTATTACCCAAGCAACAATCGTATCTTGCTAGTTGGACCAAACCGGATAATAGCAGGTAATATTAGACATGAGCTATTAGCTAACTAACTATTAGGATCTATCGGATCCAACCAGGTCCTAAATCCGTAGTTCATATACCCTTGTAGAGTTAAGTGAAAAAGTTCTTATGGGTTATGCAGGGACCTCGGAAAAGACTAAAAGGCCATAGATATGGTATAAAGTCGTCTCATGATATTTTCATAAGGTCGTCCGAGATTACAAATGGAGATAGGGTTTTACTATCTTAGAGCTTTTTGCAACTACTTTGAGCCATCAACTCTTCTAGTTCCAGAGAGAATAGGGACAGGGGGCTAACTCCATGATTTCATATTTTGAGCTCCTCAAACATACAGGTACTCTAAATACCAACGTTTTGAGTACTGACCATAGCACTAATTACACACCATTTCAATCTCAGCACTTCATATAACGACGCACACATCCGTAATCTGGTTTATATATACGGTGGCACTGTTGTAGGCAAATACATGGCATTGTTTTTATGTGAGTGAAAATATCGGAAGCCTACTTAAGAGAAGAAACTCATTGGCTCAAGTTTTCTTTTCTTATTTGTCCATGTCACCCAAAGGTGATATGATGATGACATTTCATTTGGTTGAGTGCTCTGTGCACAAGTGATATAATATAGAAGTTAATTTCTTTCAATTCCAAGAACAAAAAAAGTATGACTTTTCTTTATGTCAATGGAATTCTTAAACCTCCTTTGTGTGCCCTATTTTAACTCACGTCCAGCTTTCATACATCATACAAAGCAAACAAAAGATCTTAGCAGGCGGGGGTGTTATTTTAGCATACCCAGTTGGGTGGTGACTGGTGAAAGTGTGGCGTTTGCCACCTACTCCCACTGACCAGAGGGGCTGCCTGCAGTGAGTGAGCACTTAGCAGGCCTTATCCGTTCCCACAGGCCAACGGGAGCTCTGTTGCTGAGCTGAGATGTAATAATTAGTCTGCTCGCTGGTTGGTTTTTAGACTGATAAGCTCGGCTGATGCTGGTTTGTTGTGAGAAGAAAATACTATGGTTTGGTTGATAAGCCCTGACTGAAATCAATAAACGATCAGGCTGAATATAGGTGAAGGGGAGTTGTAGGCCTTATCCATTCCCACGTGCCAAAGGCCAGACGCTAACCTACATCGTTAAAATTGAAACAATGGCACTCTTGGAATTGGAGATAAAACCGTAGTACTCTTTATTTTACACTGGCTGTCTGGCTGGCTTCAGACTCACGACCCATACTTTATACAAGTCATTGGGCACTTGTCCGTGCAGCAACGCACGTCACCTCCGGTGGACACCTGCCCCACAAACTACCTGATAATAATATAATGTCTACGTCAAAATCAACAATTATTATTATTATACAATACATAAGCAAAGAGACAGACATCCTCTGAGAAGTTTTGAACCCAAAAACAAATGCCAAGAGAGCCAAACAAGCTCGGTGGCTGAATTGAAAACTGTACCCGGGAGCAATGGTCACTTGGTCAGATTCATGCTGCTCTGCTCCTGCATGTCAGCATGTGACGAGGTTGCCACCATCCTCTGCTCTGCACTGCACCGCACTGCACCTCAAAAGCGACTCCAAGGGAAGGGACCTCTCCCTCCTTGACAGACAGTGCTCAGTCTCAGACCAAAGCACGGGAGAGCAGAGGAAGCAGAGGGCAGAGCTTTGTGGGAGCGTCAATGGCAGGAACCTGGGCGAAGGTCTGCTTCCCTAGCCTTCCTCTTACTACCCCGATATTATTTATGATCTTATTGTTCCGTTGGATTCTCACCAGCAAGTGCAGCTTTCTTGGAGACGTTTCTGATGTTTGAATCGGATTTAGGGTTGACTTTGATTCGCGGAAAGATTTGTTTGTTTCTTGAGTTTTGCAAGGTCTCCTTGCATGAAGTTTGCAAGTGAGTTGGGAATTGGGATCAGTCGGTGATAGCAACGCTTTCGGTCTTGTTTAGCTGGAATCCACCCATTCGGATTGTGGGGGAATCCTCTCTGATCTAATAATCTACAAAGGTGGGGCGGCGTTGACGAGGGAATTTCAACTCTGTCTTCAATGGATCTTCGTCTTCCTGATGTCAAAGGCCTGTTGACATGGAAGCCGGTGATGCTGAAGTTGTGCTCGAGTTCAACAGCTTCTTTTGCAGCTGTATCCCCACCCCGACTCCCCAGTTGCCATGAGCGTTGCAACTTCTGCTGCACCAGCAGTTTTCAGAGTTTCAGATGATTTTAGACCAAAAGTTTGAGAGCCAGCAAATTCCTATTATCTGGACCTGCAGATTTCAGCTAATATTAGGCCAAAACCTTGCAGTCGTAGGGTCACTGTTACCAGATCTACCTGCAGATTTGAGATGGCTAGCTACAGCCAATTGTTTAGTCACATGATCTGAACCAAATCACAAGCATGCCACACTTTTTGAAATTTTGATTCCATTTCTGCAAAATTTAAGCCTCCATTTTCGTTTGGGGTGGCATGCTTGAGCTTAACTTCTTTGTGAAATTAAATGATCAGGTGAGATTGACTATGGATGTTCATGTTCTCACTTATGCCTGCAATTGCAATGCTTGTAAAATCCACGCAGATGGAGCAGAAGGGTGCCTGTCCGGGAGCAAGAAGCTCCCACGCCATCACCCTGGTCGGGCACGCGGCCTACTCATTCGGCGGCGAGTTCACCCCGCGCGTGCCGGTGGACAGCATCATGTACGCGTTCGACCTCGACACCCAGACCTGGTCCGCCCTCGACGCCACGGGCGACGTGCCCCCGCCGCGCGTGGGGGTGACCATGGCGGCCGTGGGCGGCACGGTGTACACGTTCGGCGGGCGGGACCTGGAGCACAAGGAGCTGAACGAGCTCTACGCCTTCGACACGGCGACGCGGGCGTGGACGCTCCTCTCCTCCGGCGCCGACGGCGGGCCGCCGCACCGGAGCTACCACTCCATGGTTGCCGACGCGGACGCCGGGCGGGTGTACGTGTTCGGCGGGTGCGGCGACGCCGGGCGCCTGAACGACCTGTGGGCGTACGACGTGGCGGCGGGGCGGTGGGAGGAGCTGCCGTCGCCGGGGGAGGCGTGCCGCCCGCGCGGCGGGCCTGGGCTGGCCGTTGCCTCCGGTGGGAAGGTGTGGGTGGTGTACGGGTTCTCGGGGGAGGAGGAGCTGGACGACGTGCACTGCTACGACCCGGCCACCCGGGCGTGGGCTGTGGTGGAGACCACGGGCGACCGTCCCAGTCCCCGGAGCGTGTTCTGCGCCGCGGGGATCGGGAGGCATGTAGTGCTGTTCGGTGGCGAGGTGGATCCCAGTGACCTCGGCCACCTCGGCGCCGGCAAGTTCTCGGCCGAGGCGTTCGCGCTCGACACGGAGACCGGCGCGTGGACGCGGCTGGTGGACGACGACAAGGCGGAGGCCGAGCAGCACCACCCGGGGCCTCGCGGGTGGTGCGCGTTCGCGGCGGGGGAGAAGGACGGCCGGGCAGGGATGCTGGTGTATGGTGGCAACTCGCCGACCAACGACCGGCTCGACGACATCTACTTCTTCGCGCCCATTCTTGGAAAAGTTTGAGGCCGAAAGCTAGCGCGTGGTGGTAATGTTTGGTGTGTAGCAGTGCAATCTGCAGGGCTTGTATGTTTTTTTGTGAATTATCATCTTGTGTGTGGTCATCTAGATTTCTGGCTGTTTCTTTCTTTCTTCGGTCTATGGTTTTATGCTGTGTGATTGGATAATAATCATGGTACTTTAATCTGTGTTTTACCATGGCTTTGCATTTTTTTTAGAGTTCAAGGGTGGCCCCCGCCTTTATATTGCAAAGACCAAACCATTAAGCTCCTTACAACATTCAAAGTTCAGAACTCCAACATAACGCAGAAGGCCTCGACAGCAAAACAAACACACAAAGATATAGCGTAACTAACTCACGACATCATTACATCCCCAAGCTTCCGCAAGACTCGCAAAGCTAATCCAGCTTTCTTTCACGAGCCATCCTTTCCAGATCAACTCCATTTGCCAAATGGA